CGTTTGTCCTTTCTAAGACCACTCTATGATATAGCTGTCTGGCAATTTATTTTAATGTTAGGATTTGTTAAGAAACAGAGGAGGAACACGTTGGGCCTGAAATTCACATGGAAAATGCACGAGGTTGTTGCCAATTTTGGTTGCAAGCTGTTGGACGCAAGACCGTTCGACCATCTGAAAGCCAGGATGGAGGAAGAAGAAGTAAAGACGGCAACAGAGGGTTGGAAACCTGGAGAGAGAGCAACTAAAAGAATGATTGAGTGGTGCCAAGATCAATGGCGAAGAAAAAGCCCAGCGTACCCAAAAGAGGACTGTGCCTTCTCCGTTAACGAGCCCTGTACCATGCCTTGGTTTGACGACATGCCAGTGTGCTTTAATTGTGGTGTCCCTTCCCCCGAGTGTAGAAGTGAACTTTCTAAGGATTTACCAATTGAAATGTCTATGGCCCATGCCCTTCTGGAATTCGACGAAATCCATGCGGACGTGCATGACAGCAAAGGAACATCATTGTCATCGTCCAATGTTTCCGAGAATGAATCAAGCGAGGTGACAAGAATGACCTTAAGGTCGTCTCGGAAAAACTAATGCTGTCGTGTGCAGTGCTGACCTCTGGAATCAACACTTCTAAACTTTGTATGTTATTGTTTTCGCTACATCCACCTCGTTGACAGATAAACTTATTTGTCAAATTTCGGCATGTTTCTGAAAAGGCCATATTGTAATCGTTGTTTATGTTACCTGATGTTAACGTTACTAACAGCGCCAGACGCGCGTTTCTCACACTGCCGAAAACGTTTCGGTCACGAAATACCAATTTACGTACACCAGTTTCATTACCAGAAAATCGATTTCTAGTATTTTCATTAATCTTTTAACAAAATTCGTTATAAAATTGAGAATTACACTGTGCTGGTTTGCCCAAAAAGATATTACTCATAGACTGGAAACCGTCTTAAGACTTCTCGGGCACGAAATGTTTTCCGGACGGTTCAGAAACGCACGTCAGGTGCAATGGTGAAGAAAGCATGCTATAAATAGTGACGCGTGGTGCTTCCTTTGTGAACACCAAAATTTGAAGAGTGCTTGCGCTTAGGGTACCAAATAATAAGACAAAATTAGGATTTACTGAATCTAAGACATGCCCACAAAACGAGTTTCTGTCACCTTTGGATGACGTATAAACTTAATATGGGATCCCCTGAATCCCTACACAACAGTTTAGTGGGGAGGTCCGGTTGAATGTTGTGTTTTAACAATTTAAGCTTCACTGGACTTTTCAAGCAATCAAATTCACAATCCTGTAATGGATTTGTTAGCTTTAAGTTACTTGCATTGATGAAAAATTGCTGTAATAATTATTGGACAAATAAAGAGAACAGGAAGCACTTCAAGGATTCCACAAATTGAAGTTGGAACACAGAAAACAATACTGCACAAAGCAGTATTCTAAAATTTAACATAAAAAGAAAAAAAATAAACCCTAGGGCCGAGGAAGAAATGGGGGTAATTGCAATCATTTCAACTGCAACTGAATGTGATAGTGCTTGCAACAATTCAGCTTCCATCCAGGCATAAGCAAAAATTTGGGCGGTCCCCTGGGTCTCGATTACAAAATCCAATTGAACTACAAATTTAATACACTCCATGCTACCAATAAATGTGAAGCCCGTCAGGCAATGCTGAAGAGTCGACATAACTATTTTTTTTTTTTTTTGACTTTAGGCACTAACTATAACATCAAGCAGGCGTGGTCACTAACAAAAAGTTACAATGTAGAGAGGGACAGACTAGGTTAGTTTTGAAGACTCCTTTGATTACTCATCCTCGGAGACCCAGGGGCGGTTAGTTGGGGCGAGAGGAAATAAATCTCCCTTACTTGTAAACCTGTGACGCTTCATTTCTTTGCCCGATTTATTTCCTCTCGCCCCAAATAACCGCCCCTGGGTCTCCGAGGATGTCGATTACTGAACACAAACAAAAACTGCCAGGCTATGTAATATACAAAATCAGAATTCCATCGTGCTAATACAATAAAGGCCTATTGCAGTGTTTGCTACCATCAATTTTCTTAGCAAACCTCATACAAAAAAGAAAGGGTCCAATTGGTGAGTTTTGATAATTAAATTTAATTCATTTATATTACTTGACTTAATTGTTCCATAATTCAAGGTTCATTGATTGTCAGCAGTGGAAAAACCAATAGTAATTGGGTCTTAGAACTTTACAGAATACATGTGTAATTGAAAGGTGTGGTAACTGATCATTTGTTCAAATCATGTGTTATTCCTTTCTCACACAAACTGAGGTGTAATGAAACCAAAAAGGCCAACTTTAAGGCCTAATTCACAGGAGATTTACTTTAGTCTGATCTGGAATTATTAATTGTTACAGGCCTCGTAAGTCCCCTTTTCTGTATATTTTAAACCAACTCAAGAATGTGTCCAGAACCCTGCTTCATTTCTATGTGTAAGCCTTCAAACTCATTCAAATTTGAGTCAAA